GATACGCACTTCCCACCTTACTCGATATTGTTGCCATTCAACGAATTGATCGTCATCCCGTGGACAACAGTAGAACCCCACTGGCCGCGCACTCTATGCACCGAATGCCGGCGTTTTGAGCGCTACGAATCCAGGGGTTTCCACTACCGTGTGCGGAGTGAAGACGAGCATAAAGAAAGAGCCACGCGGCTGAGACCATCCACATCGGACTCGGAACTGACCATCGAACGACGACGAGATTTGATACGAAAACGAGACACGCGGAGCGTGCCAAAGCCTTTCCGTTCTAAACGACGGGCTGTAGCCCGGTGGGAAGCCCGACAATACTTTTTGGATTGAATTTGGATTTTTCTCTTTTCGCGCCGTGCCCGCGAGCGCATTCCGCGATGCGCGAAAGCAATCGACTTGCTTCATTGGACCAACACGGGGGATTTCAGTTCTATCTGTGTCCCCACACTCAATTTCCGAAAATCCTTGGCACACCCCATCTTGCTGTTTTTCTGGGCCTTTTTCCGCACGCCTAACACTCCGAACGAAAGACAGCACAGGGCGTGAGGTTGCGCGTCACAAGGGGGGTACGCACGGGATCGGTCGGGCGTGTGCGCCTCACGTCAGGAACCGCGCTCACTATGTGCGCTTGCAAGTATGGTGCTAAGTATATAATGTGTTATATGGGGCGCTGGGCCCTATATCCGGCACGTGTTGCTCCCCACGAATGGATGGAAACCTTGTTGGTTAGGAAAGAAAAGAAAAAAAAAAGGCACTGAGGTGTTCTCTTCTTTTGCCAGGTATCCCCCCAAAGGTGGCTCCAGCCATGTCTTAGGAAACTCTCTCAGTATAGACTTCTTTTTTGTTGCCTTCTTCTCTGCTTCCCATTCCACTCAAATATAATGCACCCTGATAATGAATGTACACAAGCTATAGCTCCAGTCAGGCCCAACCAAAATGAGTGTTTGTTGCTCAGCGGTAGACCGAGTGCCCATGTTCTCTAGTCTCATCTCTCTCTGATCTGTGTGACAGACTCCTATGTGTTCCCTTTCTGTACGTCCGCCCTTTCCTTCTCATGTCCACATCTGCCCTTCCACAGAAACCACACACACGAAAAGAAAAAGTCGTGATATGCTGAGCATGCTGTGGACATTCTTAGGGTTGTGCTCCACTGCCGATTCTTTTGAGGAAGTTCCTTTTCTTAATTTAAGAACAGCGCTCGTCCCGTAAGAATTTGTGGGGCTCCACCTACCAGCCCTTCCGGTACTCTTACAGAGAAAGTGCCACACAGCATGTGCAAATTGTGCTCCTCATTTCCACGGAGGCCGGAATTGTGGCATGATGCATTTGAACCGTTTTTAAGGGAATTCTTGGAAAGAGATACCGTTGAACTAGGGCTTTCAGTGAATGTCGGGGATTTTTCAGCAAATGCAGGCGAAATCCCAGAAAAGGAAAAAATGTGAAAACGCCAGTGGAGCCCGCAATTCTTCGGGGAAAGTCCTCGAAGAACTGCAGTGGAGCAAGCACCTGATTGGATTCGGCACACTGAGCTCTAAGATTCTTCAACAATGAACGTACATAAGAAAGAAAAAGAAAAAGAAAAAGAAAAGGAGGTGCTGAAGCGAAGACGTCCTGCATTCCTCATAAAGATTCTGGACGAATCTCAATGATGTCGGAAATTTTAGGAAAGAACCAGCTTTAGAACTTCATAATCCGAAGTTTTTGGAAAGAAACTAATTTAGGAAACTTTGGGAGACAAGAAGCTCTAGAGCTTAAGACAACAGAAAACTAACAAGTACCTGTAATGGCCCAGAAGCTAATGACAAAACATGTCACATGTCCATGTCAGCACTCAGTCCTAATTGCATGATCTGCACCAGAGCATACAGACATCCTGTTTTTTTTTCCCCCTTTTCTTTCTTTCGGAAAGACATCCAGGTGAGTCTGACGAGAACACGTGTCATGCTGCTGCGACATGATTGGAGTACAGAAAAGACATTTTCCCTGAAATAGATGTCCCATGTTAGATGTGTGCCAGAGCACTGACCAAAGTTTTTTTTTTTTTTTTTTTTCTTGTAATTGACCAAAGTTTTCAGCATAACTGGAGGCATACTAACAATAGGACTTTGAGGGCCACAGATGTAGGCTGCTAAAAAAATCTTTGTTCTTTTCTTCGGAAAAGAAAAAGAAAAAAAACTGGCCCAGAATACTCTACAATCATGATATCAGGATCATTACCCGGCTCAGTTGGTACGCTCTTGAAACGTTGGAGCACAGAGTCTGACCTGAGTTCGAACTCCAGTGGAAGCAGATGAGTGAAGTACTACAATTCTGAATTACCCAGGGCTGGTCAGTTCAATGGAGATATTTCAAGGCCATCGCACTTTTAAACCACCAGTACCTTTCTCAGCTATCGATGCCGAGCCTAAAACTGCCCTGCGTGCCAAAAAAAAAAGAACCAATGCGGGCCTCATTTTGGCTGGCGCCACCAGCCATTTCGCGCCGGTAGTCCCGAGCCTGCCCACCTCCCATGTTAACCGGCGATTACTTGTTTTTCAAGCAGGGAAAGTTTTTTTTTTTTAAAACAACACACCCCCTGCAGTGTTAGTGGTGCTGATAAGAGCAGACACCACTAGCAGAGGTACGGGTGGAAGAAAGAGAGAAGAAAAGGGAAAGAGGGCGGGGGAAAGGATCATTGCTCAGCTTCGGCTTGAGATTCCCATGCCCACCCAGCTGGAAAACAGGTCCAGCGTCCCAAAGATGTTTTTTTTTTTTTTTTTTTTTT